GGCCCCATGACCAGACCCCCCAAAAAAAAGAAAAAAGAAAAAAAAAAGAGGCATTTAGCAGCTGTCCTATCCAATGCAGTAGCTGTAAGCTACATATACCTATTTTAACTAGAATTAAATAGAATTTACAAGTCAGTTTTTAGCCAAGCATTGGTGGCTCACACCTGTAATTCTAGCTACTCAGAAAGCTGAGATCTGAGGGCTGCAGTGCAAAACCAGCCTAGGCAGACAAATCTGACTCTTACCTCCAATTCGTCACCAAAAATCAGGGGCTGTGGCTCAAATAGCAAAGTGTCAGCCTTGAGAGATAAAGCTAAGGGACAGCGTCTAGGCCCTGATTTCAAGCTCCAGAACTGGCACAATAAACAAATAAACAACAGTTCCTGGTTCCCACTAGTTACATTTCACATGTGAAACTCATCAGGCCACCAGCTGTCATATTGGACAGCCCAAATACAGAGCCTTTCTATTGCCCTAGAAAATTATCTTGGACAGCTGGGATATACAGAATAACTCTTCAAAATTGTCATGGTATTGAGAGACAGAGAGAGACTACTACAGAGTAAAGGAGACCACAGTGCCAGGCCAGCTGGGTGTAGTGTGAGACCCTGGATCATAAAGCAGAAAAGGGACATTAGAAGGATGAATAGTGAAATCTGGGTAAGGATTTTGATTAATTAATAATATTTTATTGGTGTTTATGTTCTGGTTTGGATCATTGTTCTGGGGTTTTATTATATGTATTTGTGTTGTTTTTATAACTTCATTCTAAGTCTAAAATAATTCCAAAATTCTAAAGCAAAATAAATTATCTTTTGATGGTATTACTTCATCTCTCACTATTTATTGCAGTCACCCTAATTCATGGGTACGATTCATTGACCACTCACAAGTTGAGCTTACCCCAGATAGGCCCAAGTTCCCAGGCCAGTATCCCTGGCTGATGATTTAGCAATTGCCAGCTCACATTTCTCCCCAGAGAACAGAAGTTAGGACCTCAGAAAAGACCATGCTGTCATGGTCCAGGCCTGCAGGGAGCTCTTTCAGACTGAGAAACAGAACTTAAAATATAACTATTAAATAATTGCTTGATAAACAAATATCAAAGTGGTGTCTAAAGGGGCTGGGAAGGTGGCTCAGTGGTAGAGCGCTTGCCTTGCAAGCCTGAGGCCATGGGTTCGATTCCTCAGCACCATATAAGCAAAAAGAAAAAAGCTGGAGGTGGCACTGTGGCTCAAGTGGTAGAGCGCTAGCCTTGAGCTGAAGAGCTGAGGGACAGCGCCCAG